TAAAGTTTAGGGCATGTCAAGTTGCAGGTGTAGGGTTTTAGGGTTTAGGGTTTAAGGTTTAGGGTATTCCATGGTTTCAACTCAGCCCAGCCTTGCATCTTCGGGTATAGCTCCCGAAGTTTTTTTGAGGGAAAAACGAAAAGCAAAAAACTCCCTTCCAGCCGGTTTAGGGTTTAGGGTTTGGCCCTTTTCCCTTAAACCCTTTTCCAGCCATGTTCAGGTTTTGTCCTGTTAACCCTAAACCCCAAACCCTAAACCCTAAACCCCAAACCCTAAACCCTAAACCCCAAACCCCAAACCCTAAACCCTAAACCCCAAACCCTAAACCCTAAACCCTATAACCCTAAACCCTAACCCCGAGGCCGGCGGACGTTTCGCCCTGGCGATGCGGCTTTCTACTGGAGCCATCAAGCAGCAACACAGGGGGGTCTTCCGCGTCCTAAACCCTAAACCCTAAACCCCAAAATCTTTTGGTATGTCTTGCTGTTGGTGTAACTATAGTTTTTGCGTGATAAGATTACACGAACAACAGCCATCCTACAAATTTGAGGATCAGCAGACTTAGAGATGCAGATCGTATTGTATGATGCCTTGGCTGTACTTGAGTGAGCAACTCAGCTCTTCTAGGGTTTAGGGTTTAGGGTTTAGGGTTTAGGGTTTAGGGTTTAGGGTTTAGGGGCTTTGGTGCTGTAGGCATCCCCCATCAAAGATGAGCCGGTAGGATGTCTCAAAGTCCGACATGCGGCTGCGCTTCTGCTGCGTGGCTCTAGGTGCCCAAGCGTTGACGTCGAGAGCGTAGGGCTTCACGTGGTACCAGTGCTGATGAGAAGGTTTAGCAAGAAGCACAGCACAGGAGGCTTGTCAACCAACGTTGTCGTCATCATCGTGAGACAGGGTCTAGGAGTCTAGAACTGTGCATTTGCTGCAATGAGCACCGCCACTGCCGGAGAGCTCCTGGCCGAGATCGAAGCCACCCAGCGAGAGGTGGAAGCAGAGGAGGCGAGGTCTGTTCAGCTTGAGGCGGAGTCTGCGCAGGCTGAGGAGCGGCAGCGGCTTCGTCGACAACTGGAGGAGAAGAGAGCGAGCTTGGAGGCCAAAAGGGCTGACAATGATTTTGAGAGCAGCTACCGTCAGAGTGTCGATGCAGACCGGGACGGGGCTTGGCTCCGGAGTTCGACAATACAACCTCACACGGAAGCCAAGATAGTCGCTGCTCAAGCATGCGGTGAAGAAAGCATGAGCTTTGGCCGCAACATCTCTCGGGGCGAATACGTATGGAATCTTCGGCAGGTTTCTTGGATGCTCAGTGCGCTGCAGCTTGAAGGCACTCACAGGCTTATTTCTGACATACTTCGAGTGGGCAGCTATCCCTTCAGTTTCGTCTACAGTCCGAATCCAGGTCCTCTCGGTGTCGATGAAGCGGGAACTGTTTTCTTCGGCTCTCTTGCAGCAGCAGCTTGCACACGAGCCAGAGTTTTGATTCGGTACCGCATCTATGTCAGGAAGCAGGGTGGGGAGTTCGTGCAGTGGGGCCCACTGGGAGAAAGAGTCCACGATTCTGCTTACACCTATTATGGCCCTGATGTTCATATGGAGAGCTCCCCACCTTCCGCAGTAGGCATCTTCGGGCTGACGCACACAGAGCTGCTGCAGTCAGAGTGGGTGGAAGACGACACTTTGACCTTCAAGTTCGTGCTGGAAGTTCTCCCGGCAGAAGGGTGCCTGGGGCCTGCCCCATTTGGGAGGCAAGTTTGCAGCAAGAACATGGACACGGTTTAGGGTTTAGGGTTTAGGGTTTAGGGTTTAGGGTTTAGGGTTTAGGGTTTAGGGTTTGAGCCCTCCATGAGTCGAGACACGCGAGCTTTGCTGGAGGATGCTGTGGGCAGCGACGTGCAGTTCTCGGTGCAGGGCGAAGTCCTCCAGGCCCACTCGCAACTTGGTGGCCCAGTGGTACCCTTTTCCTTTTTTTGGTTCAAGGTTCCCTTCTAAAGTAAACAACCCCAATAAAAGGGTGCCCTTATTCGAATATGGTATACTGGGCTACCCTAAACCCTAAACCCTAAACCCTGAAAGGCAACTTCTTTGCGCCAGATCGGAAGTCTTCAAGAAGCAGCTGACCGCCGGCATGCAAGAGACCGCGACGAAGAAGATCGTGATCCAGGACTGCGACGTTTAGGGTTTAGGGTTTAGGGTTTAGGGTTTAGGGTTTAGGGTTTAGGGTTTAGGGTTTAGGGTTTAGGGTTTAGGGTTTAGGGTTTAGGGTTTAGGGTAGTTGGGTGCAGGGATCCAGGACTGCGACGTGGTGATTTTCAAGGCGTTCCTGCAGTTCCTCTACACGGACCATCTCCCAGATGTCCAGGAGCTTGTTCCGGCAGGGACCCCAAACCAGACCGAGAAGGACAGCGATGCTCAGCTGTCGGCACTCTTGGCTTTGAGCAACAAGTACCAAGCCACCCGGCTTCAGCTGTGGTGCGAAGCGAAGCTTTGCGAAAAGCTCAGCACGTCACAGGTCTGCGACATCCTATACCAGGCACATCTCTTCCAGGCCAAGCAGCTCGAACACGCGTGCCTGTCTTACATCAAGGACCACACGACCGAGGTTCTCAAGCTTCCGGCCTATGCCGAGCTAGTGGCAAAGTGGCCCGAGATCGGCTTGGAGGTCAGCCTCTTCTTGGCCGGCATGCCGCCAGCAGAGGCAAGTGAAGCAGCTCAGGCCTCCAAGATTCGGAGGCTGGAGGCTGGAAAGGAGAGGACCTTTGGGCCCTGAGGGGCTCCAGTTTCGATACTTAGTGGCAGCAGCTTGTATCGTGGGCACGCCAGAGTAAGGTCACTAAAGCACACCCTAAGCCCTAAACCCTAAGCCCTAAACCCTAAACCCTAAACCCCAAGCCCTAAACCCTAAACCCGAAACCCTTTTCTGTTCACCTGCGTGGCATCACACGGATCCCAAGAACTCTCGAAGCTCTACAGTGCCCAGATGGATTGCATGCGGCGAGGTCAAAGAATATTTGTCAGGTCCCCCCCCCAAATGGGTTTAGGGTTTAGGGTTTCGGGTTTAGGGTTATTTGTTATTTAGGGTTTAGGGTGTTTCCGAAATGTGGGGAACCTTACTGGGGTCCTTATCAAAAGGGGAATCCAATATCGATAGTGCGGGTTTTCTATTTAGTAAACCTCCAAATGTGGCTCCCAAGCCTAAGCTACTGCCTAAGCTCCTCAGCCCTGAACTATTCCATGAGCCTCTACGCCTCCGAGACCCTGTAGGAGCCTTTTGCACGAACTTTTTCCCCCAGAAACACCGGTACCGAATGAGGATATCCTGGGACTCTCGTGACCTACAGTTTAGGATAAGCTAGCCTTAACTAATATAGCCCCACAAAACTGTAGTTTAAAGAGAGTGCCAGGTTCGTTCACTGGGGTTTTGGGGCTGAACAGGAACTCAAAAGGGAATACAAGCAACAAAAAAAGCTAAATAACTATTATACATACATACATGTATATATATATATAGAGAGAGAGACATATGTATATGAGCAACTATCATTTTCTGGTTCAAAGGGAGTGTAGAAAGCCCAAACCCGAAACCTGAATCCCTCAACAGAAAAGTTCAAGGAATATACCGGGCGGACGTCCGAGGTGCTACACACCGAACATGGCTCAAGACCTGTGTCCTCTCCGTCAACCGCGACGGAGGCCCCATGCGGGGTATTCCTGGTTTATAGAGGGTTTAGGGTTTAGGGGGTGTTTCTGGTTTAGGGTTTAGGGTAGTTGGGTGCAGGGCTCCTTGCGCAATTTTGGGGCAGCCGTTTAAAGGGCAAGTCTTGGAGGCGGCTGCCCAAGAAGATGCACCTAACCCTAAACCCTAAACTTGCGAATACAATCCATGTGCAAGGGGTCCGCGTCAGCTGTCCATGTTGTCTTTCCTTTCGGGACTTTGCGAGTTGGGCTTCTTGAAATTGCGTGCCCTGGTAGGGTGTAGTGTGGGCCGAGTTTAGGGTTTCACGTTTCGAGACTAACAGAGACCTCAAAAATTCCTTTCACGAGAAGTTCCTCTTACTGCCGAAGCCCTTGGGCTGTTCTCCCTCATACTAACAGTCCTCCATACGAATCATCATAGGGCAGGGTACTATAATCCCCCTAACCCTAAACCCTACACCCAAGTACTCGGGATCTACTAAACCCTAAACCCTAAACCCTAAACCCTAAACCCTAAACCTTTTTGCTGAAGCTGACCTTGCAAGGAGGCGACAAGTCCGAGACCTACAACTTGGACTGCAAGTCCAGAGTGGAGCCGGGGGGCCCGGTTTAGGGTTTAGGGTTTAGGGTTTAGGGTCTAGGGTTTAGGGTTTAGGGTTTAGGGTTTAGGGTTTAGGGTTTAGGGTTTAGGGTTTAGGGTTTAGGGGGTTTAGGGCTAGGGTCTTGAGGGTTAGGGTTTAGGGTTTAGGGTTTAGGGTAAGCTAGCATGACATCCCTGAACCAGGACCCGGTGCCCTCATTACCTTTGCACCAACGTACCTTTCGGGCCTCAATGCAAACTCTAAGCTCCCGAGCTCGGAACCCTAAACCATGCAACCTCAACCCTAAACCCTAAACCCTAAACCCTAAACCCTAAACCCTAAACCCTAAACCCTAAACCCTAATCAAGCCCTGATCCATGAAGTACCCAGCCCCAAACGACACCCCCCCCCAGGTCCTGGCAGATGCGCACGGCGGACGAGCCACGAGATGGCCCCCCCGACTGCTCGGAGGGAGCTGGAGGCCGTGCTTTCCTTGACCTAGGGATGGGTTTAGGGTTTAGGGTTTAGGGTTTAGGGTTTAGGGTTTAGGGTTGAACCCTGAAGTTGGGGGTCATATACCCTGACTGCTATGTCGAATCCCCTATTCAGGTATACGAAGCACTGTTTAGGGTTCGTTTTAGTGCCCCAAGTTTGTTCTTTCTCTTCCTTTTTTTCCCCAGCCCTTTGGGTTCTAGTGTTTAGGGTCGAGGTTGTAGGGTTGCACAGACAGAAGCAGTTTTGCAAGTTCCTGTGGCAGAGGTTTGTTGGCTTTTGGGGTGGCGCAGCTTCTTTCGCTACTGGCATAGCCTGATCTTCTCCGATCTCCTTTGCAGATATCGCGCACCAAACTCTTCTGCTTGACAGAGGGTTGAATCCCTAAACTCAAGTAAACCGCACACAGGCCCTAAACCCTAAACCGCACTTAATGGGCTCTTCGTAGGAAAGCTCGGTTGGGACTTCTGTTCCCTTTCCGATCCCTTGAGGGGATGTATCGTAAACCCAAAACCCTCACGCAAAACCCTGTACCCCGTATCCGTGTACCCCAACCCTATAAGCCCCAAACCCCAAATCCTAGGCCCTGAAGCCCAAGAACCTGCTACCCTAAACAAGCCCTTCAAACCCTGAACAGCCCAACGAATACCCAAAAAAACTTTGAAAGCCCTAAAACCCTGAACTCCTGAATCCTAACCCCCTCCACCACAAGGAAGAACCGCGGGTCCTCTGCAAACCACTCTGGGCTTATAGGTTTTGGGACTCGCAAGTTCTTGTGCGCATGAGGTGGCTTCGCAGTGGGCATGCCCGTCCAGTGCTTCAACCAGCAGAAACGCGTCTGGGAGAACGGCACTGTGCCTCAGCTTCAGCTCGAGAGCCCTCAACCTCGACAGGGTTTAGGGTTTAGGTGTTAGGGCTCTTTTTTGGGGAGCCTCCTGTCGAAGTACGGGCAAAGAGGCAACCAGCCGATGGCGTGCCGCGAAGCCGAACACTCTTCAACTGTGTACTAACAAGAACCCCCCCCCCCAGACTCTATTTTCATGATTCAGTCCCCTATAGTAAATGCATCGCTGCAGGTCGTACTGCAGTTTCAGCCCCGAAAGTCAGGTTGTCCACTATTCGCCCAGGTGCCCACCCAAGAAACAACAAACATGTTCTTCCTCATAAGGGTACTATTGGGATTATTCTCATTGCTTTCTTGTGGAATAATTGGTAGATCTAGGAGAAAGGGTGTTTCGGACGCACCCAGTCGCCCCCCCCCCCCCAAAAAAAAAAAAAAAAGGGTTTAGGGTGTAGGCTGCGATGAGAGCTCCCTCACCCATGCAGGTCGTCCGAAGATATCAGCAGCTTGGCCGGGCACATTTTTTGCCTTTTCCGTCCCGGTAAGGGGTTTAGGGTTTAGGGTTTAGGGTTTAGGGTTTAGGGTTTAGGGTTTAGGGTTTAGGTGTCCTTCATGCAGCCCGCAGTTAGGGCAAGGGCTTGAGCAAGGCAAGTGACCCAGAAGCACTCTTGTGTCCTCCCATCCTGCGGCTTTCTGCAGATTAGGGGCTTCCCTGTTTAGGGTTTAGGGTTTAGGGTTTAGGGTTTAGGGTTTAGGGTTTAGGGTTTAGGGTTTAGGGTTTAGGGTTCAATTTTGGGATGTTTCTCCCTTCTTCGAACAGTCCTTAATAGGGATTCTAGTACCCCCCAGGACTGTAAGCATACAGGGGAACATCCCAAGTTCAATTCTTGGTCTGGTATTTTGGGCAGTGTTTTGGGAAACACCTGCCGAGGCAAGACAAAATCATTGTCTTCGATGTTGACCCTTCGCTGCACCGAGTCCGTTCCACCAGGGTTTAGGGTTTAGGAATTCCCTTCGAGGGTTGCGCATAGTGGGGATACAAGGTACCCAATTCCCCCAAATGTTCCCATCAAGAGCTCGTAACAGCTCGTATGTGGAACCTTAAACAGACAGCATCAAACCTGAATGCCCCGAAATAGGAATTGGCCTGAGGCAGCGTAGGAGCTGTACCAACCCTCTAACCTGCCCTGCCGTGAGGGAGAGAGGGAGGGAGAAACAACAAAAAAAAGAAAGCAGCATTTCTGTGAACAAGTTCCTAAACACTACCCTTGTCTTCACAACCTAAGTTTCATACTACCGTACCCTGAACGAAGACATGCCGACCCGAAACCCTAAACCCGAAGCCCTAAACCCTAAACCCTAAACCCTAAAACCCTAAACCCTAAACCCTAAACCCTAAACCCTAAACCCTAAACCCTAAACCCTAAACCCTAAACCCTAAACCCTAAACCCTAAACCCTAAACCCTAAACCCTAAACCCTAACCCAACACCCAGGAATGCAAGGAGTCCACGGTGCGAATGCTTCCAGCTAGCCGACTCCGTCTCTCGCGCTTCGCGGTGGGCGACAAGGCCGGATCCCCAAGACCTGCAAGGGGTTTAGGGTTTAGGGTCTAGGGTTTAGGCTTTAGGGTTTAGGGTTTAGGGTTTGGTTCGGGTGTATTGGGTTTATAGGGTTTGCAGGGTTTTGTAGGGTTTATGGGGTTTATAGGGTTAGGGCTCATGTACCTTGATAGGGATTTTGGTAGGGGGTATATGACCCAACTGGATGGGTTCATGAAGAGCTCGTTTTGGCCAGGTTGCCCTATTGTAGCAGCAACCTAGAGACCTAGAGAAGGAAGGCAATTTGGGTTCTTAGGTCAACGTCAAACCGAATGCCCGCAGCTGTGCATAGGTGGAGTACTGGTCCATGACCTCCAAGCGCCAGGGCTGCACCTGGTCAAGCTCCCTCCTTCGGGTTTAGGGCTTAGGGTTGAGGGTTTAGGGTTTATAGGGTTTTTAGGGCTTAGGGTTTCCCCTCACCTCGCCCCCTCCCTTGTAGAATGTGTTTAGGGTTCAGCGGCAATCTGGCGGAGGGTTCAAGACCTTCTTCTTTGCATGAGTCCAAGCCGACGCACCTCTCATCTTCTCTTAGGGTTTAGGGTTTAGGGTTTAGGGTTTAGGGTTTAGGGCACTCAAGAGGATCGCATTGTGGAGTTTTGCCCGAGACCCCGAAACTCAGCAGACTTGGGACGGGATTGTGCCTCGTCCTTGCTTGTGCGAGCCCTAAACCCTAAATCCTAAGCCCTAACACCCTAAACCCTATAAACCCTAAATCCTAAACCCTAAAACCCTTTCAACCCTAAATCCTAAAGCCCTAAACCCCAAACGTTAATCCGAAGCTATGATGGAGTCGAAACCCTAAACCCTATACCCTATACCCTAAACCCTAAACCCTAAACCCTATACCCTATACCCTAAACCCTAAACCCTAAACCCTAAACCCTAAACCCTAAACCCTAAACCCTAAACCCTAAACCCTAAACCCTAAACCCTAAACCCTAAACCCTAACCCTAACCCTAAACCCTAAACCCTAAACCCTAAACGCTAAATAGGTTTCAGGGGCCAACCGGGGACCGACAGCTCTTGCTCTCCCTCAGTCGCCTCAAGGTCCTGGCTGCTTGCGAAGGCACGCCGGGCCCGAATCTTTCATAGGTTCCCCTACCACTCCCCTAGGGTTTAGGGTTTTGGGTTTAGGGCGGGTTTAGGGGTTTAGGGTTAGGGTTAGGGTTTAGGGTTTAGGGTTAGGGTTTAGGGTTTAGGGTTTATGGTTTCGGGTTTAGGGTTTGGGGCTACCCCCCCCCCCCCCCTAGGTTCCGCCCAATAATCAAGAATCTTGGGCTGGGTCGAGGGGCAGCTGAGGCAGGCGAGGGAGCTTAGGCTTGTTTGGGAGGGGTTGCCCTAAACCCTAAACCCTAAGCCCTAAACCCGAAACCCTAAACCCCAAACCCCAAACCCCAAACCCCAAACCCCAAACCCCAAACCCCAAACCCCAAACCCTGACCTGCAGTTGAGGGGCTCAGCATGTTGAACGTGTTGGGGTTGAGTGGGCTTGGGCTCCTTCGCCTTCTGTGGACCAATCTCCTGCATGGACTCATTTAGGGTTTAGGGTTTAGGGTTTAGGGTTTAGGGTTTAGGGTTTAGGGTTTAGGGTTTAGGGTTTAGGGTTAGTTTTGAAGCCGCTGTATCCCTTCGCTGCTGGCTTCTTTTAAGTGAGCCTTTGTTGCCCCACACCCTTGCCGTAAGCCATCGGTCAGGCTCCACACTCGAAATTTACGTCCTTGTCAAAGCAACCCTAAACCCTAAACCCTAAACCTCAAACCCTAAACCCTAAACCCGAAACCCTCAAGACACCAGATCTCATCGGCTTTGGAGAGCGCTCAAAGAGCTCTGTGTTCTTCGACTGGGCCGAAGCTCGGGTCTGGGTTTTGTAATATGGGGGGTCGGAAGAATGACCTGGTAGTAATTCCCTCATGGCCTAAACCCTAAACCCTAAACCCTAAACCCTAACCCTAGAGTGTAGAGTTTAGGGTTTCCTGCCACTTCGCAGGTCCTGAAGCTTTATTGGTCAAAGCAGACCTGCGACCTCGATATAAAGAAAGGACGCGGCGGTTTAGGGTTTAGGGCTAGGGTTTAGGGTTCAGGGTTTGGGGTTTGCGGCTTAGAGAGTTTAGAGTTTAGGGTTTAGGGGTTTTAGAAGCTTAGGGTCCAGGGGACGAGTTTCACTCCCAGGCATACGCCACAGCTCCTGGCTCAAAAGGGGTTTTGAGGCAGAGCAAGGGCCTACTCCCAAAACCAAAACCCCACTCCCTTACGACCCGGCAGGGCAGGGAACAGAACCCCCTAAACCCTAAACCCTAAACCCTAAACCCCAAACCCTAAACCCTAAACCCTAAACCCTAAACCTCCCTCAGCCACGACACGCACTTCAGGAACACGCACCACTGTTGGGCTTGTAGGGCGGATCCGGGTGATGTCTTCGTCAACCCCTAGAAGCCCTCAACTCCAAAAGCCGGGTTTAGGGTTTAGGGTTTAGGGTTTAGGGTTTAGGGTTTCGGTTGGCTCTGGAAACTTCCACACGACAGGAGCGCCCCTGGCAAACGTTCGCAAGGCGCAGTGTGCACCGGTAATACTCAAGGTATCCGGAAGGGAATGTATAGTATTAGGGGGTTAGGCGGGGGATGGTTACTTAATCTCAGGGGGAGGGGGTTCGTGTCGATGAGGGCTGCCAGGTTCTTCGGAAAAGAACGGGCTTCGCCTGGGACGGCGTCGCCTGCTCTGTTGGCTTTCATTGTCCTTGCCTTGAGCATCCGCTGGATGGTTAAACTACTAATTCCCCCCCCAAAAAAAGAGTCAAAAGAATCACAATAACAAATGTTTTATAAGGGCAACATAGGGAATATCTCGCCAAATTTTAGGGTGCATGTGGTTTATTGTTTGCTGCGCGCCGTGGGCTCAAAGCAGTTGCTCCGCAGCGAGCGGAATGGAAAGCAGGTGACGCCTCGAGGACAGGAAGTGTCTGGGCTGAAGTGTTGGGCAGCAGAGCGGCATTTTGCAAGTAAACCCAAAACCCTAAGTCTTGAACCCTGCGCTAACCCCTAAACCCTAAACCCTAAACCCTAAACCCTAAACCCTAAACCCTAAACCCTAAACCCTAAACCCTGGCAGCCGAAGGAAGTTGAGCGCCATGGCATTAAAAGATGCGCTTGCAGCTTGCCAGCAAGGGGAGTTTAGGGTTTAGGGTTTAGGGTTTAGGGTTATAGGGTTTAGGGTTTAGGGTTTAGGGTTAGGGTTTAGGGTTTAGGGTTTTGGGTTCTCTGCTGAGGGAGGATCCCCTCTAGGGTGGCTCGTTGTCATTAGAAGCATCCATGTTGGCCCTTAATTTAGTGTTGCCCCAACCTACACCCCTAACTGGCCCTAATTTTTGGAATAAACCGCCCAAGAGTCTTGGGCGGTTGGGCCAAGAGCTGTGGAGGGGAGTCCAGATGGGTTCTTACAGAGAGTAAGATCTAAGGGTTTAGGGTTGTGTCTATGCGCATGCGACATGTGTGCGTGCACCGTTCTTGGCTTCTAGGTTCTTGTTGTTGCTTGAGGGTATATGTCTGGCCACCCAAGCCCCTTAGAAGACCAAGCAGCAAAACCCGCACACAGCTATCCCAATGCATCCTTAGTCTCACCATAGGGAGTTTCCGAAACAAGGGACCCCTAACAAACAGACCCCAAAATAGTAGGATTCCCTTAGAATAAGGACCCCAATAAGGTACCCCCTAATATCGCAAACCCCCATACATGAGTCCAAAATGTCCCCAAAACCCTAAACCCCAAACCCCAAACCTCTTGGCCTCTCAGGTGAGGCTGAAAGCCTTCGCAGCTGCATGGTGGTTCCCAGTTCTTGTATCTCGGCTGCCATGCATAAGTGGGTTGAGGGTTTAGGGTTTAGGGTTTAGCCAATGTCCCAGTCGTCCGAGTTTCGAAGCCTCTGTAGTCCGTAGCCTGCCCCTGCTGTAAGACTAGAAGCCCTAAACCGCCGCAATCGCTTAGTCTCCAGCCCAAACACAGACTACCTTAGGGACCAATTTTGAACCCCAAAAGGGTGTAGGGTTAGGTTGTTAAGATCCACGCAACTCCTGTGTAGAGATGGTGTGGGGTTTTGGGATTCGTTCTTGGGGCTTAGTCGGGCTTAGTGCTTAGGGGTTAGGGTTTAGGGTTGGGGTTTTGAGAGGGGTGGCGGAAGGTCTAGGGACTCATATTTGGGCTTTTTTGGGCAAGGAGTCTCCACAGAGTCGGGAGTACGGTTCTTGCGGGGGGGTTTGAGGGTAAAGTCCAGCTCTTTGTACGCCATCATCGGTGCAAGGCTGGATGGATGGTGTTCGGGGATCTAGACCCACCAAGCTCGAGTTGAATCAGACCCTAAGCCCGAAACCCCGAAACCCCTAACCCCCTAAACCCTAGAACCCTAGAACCCTAGAACCCTAGAACCCTAAACCAAACAGGTTGGCATCCTCTCCGGCGCCAACCTCTTCCTCCTAGTGATGTCGGCGCCTTTGGCCACTTCGGCCGCACCCCGAATCAGAGAAACCCTTTAAACCCGGAAGGCTTCGAGCCCCTAGGGTTTAGGGTTTAGGTGTCTCAATGAGTGGGCGCGCTGGTGCTGAAAGCACCCAGGCGCGCGCCCCGAGTTGCATAAGCCCACCCCCGCTGGCACTCCACCCTCGCCTTAACCTCTACGGGTTTAGGGTTCTTTTGAACTCTGATCGTGCTTTTGCTATTTTTCTCTTGTCTCTTCGCTTTCGCTGATGCTGCAGCTGGACCTTGTTGGAGTCGTGGTGGCCTTGTGAATCATTTTAAAGTGAAAAACCCAAAGGTTTGGGCTTGGGGCTGGTTGTCGCCTTTTGTTTTTGGTGATGCTGCGTCTGGGGATCTGGATCCCTAGCTTGAAAGGGCCAGGCACCTCAGGCCAAGGCCTGTTTTTCAGGCAGGGTAAGCAGATCCAGTCCCAAGCAGGGGGCCACAGCCTCCCAGCAAGTTTTTCTTAAACTTCAAAACCCGAAGGTTTGGGCTTGGGGCTGGCTGCCGCCTTCGCCCTTGCATGCTGCGTCCTGGCTGGGGATCTGGATCCCTTGCAAAAATCCTCAGACCAAAGCCAGGCAAGGGGCTCCAGGCAGCTCCCAGCCAGGGGCCTCCCAGGGCCTCCCTTCGTTCGAAGGGGCCTCCCAGTGCGTCTTGTTGGGGATCTGGATCCCTAGCTGAAAGGGCCAGGCACCTCAGGCCAAGGCCTGTTTTTCAGGCCGGGTAAGCAGATCCAGTCCCAGGCAGGGGGCCACAGCCTCCCAGCAAGTTTTTCCAAAACTTCAAAATCCGAAGGTTTGGGCTTGGGGCTGGCTGCCGCCTTTGCCCTTGCATGCTGCGTCCTGGCTGGGGATCTGGATCCCTTGCAAAAATCCTCAGACCAGAGTCAGGGCTCCCAGGCAGGGGGTCCCAGGCAGGGGCCTTCCAGGCCTCCCCGCTGCAGCTCCCGTCCCAGGGCCTCCCAGAGGGGCCTCCCAGGCAGGGGCCTCCCAGGCAGGGGCCCTCCCAGGCAGGGGCCCTCCCAGGCCCTGCCTGCCTGGGAGGCCCCTGCCTGGGAGGCCCCTCTGGGAGGCCCCCTGCCTGGCCCTCCCAGGGCCTCCCAGGCAGGGCCTCCAGGCAGGGGGCCTCCCAGCTAGGGGCCTTTCAGGCAGGGGGGTTCAGGCACAGGCAGGGGCCTCTCAGGCAGGGGCCTCTCAGGCAGGCTCGCAGGCCCAGGCAGGGCCTCCCAGGCAGGGGCCTCCCAGAGTGCCAGGCAGGGGCCTGGCAGGGGCCTCCCAGGCAGGGGCCTCCCAAACCGGGCCCCAGGCAGGGGGGGCCCTCCCAGACAGGCAGGCAGGGGCCTGGGAGGGGCCCCCAGGCAGGGGCCTCCCAGGCAGGGGCCTCGGGCACGGGCAGGAGGTTGCGATGTTTTACCCGAAGGTTTGGGGTATCTTATTCTAGGGCGACCTGACGGGTTTCTCGCCAGCGACCTGCCGGGTCCACCGCGCAGCCCGCAGCTGCCTGCGGGACTGGAGCTCCGTCGCCCGCCGGAGGGCTTCTGGCTCCGGAGCGGCCTCGCCTGCCGGCTTCGGCGCGTTCGCCCTGCTCGACGGCCCCGGGCTCACTCAGTTTAGGGTTTCGGGTTTAGGGTTTAGGGTTTAGGGTTTTTGGGTAGCACAGGCCTCAGAGCTGCTACAGGCATTTTGGAACCCCGTGCTGAAGTCAGGAGTTCAGGGAAGTTCTCATAGCCGTACAAAAGCGTCCGCTTACGCCCTGAACAGCAACTTTTCCCCCACGTTTTTGGGGCCGGAAGGCGATGTTTTTGTGGTTTTTACCTGCTGCAGATAGCATGTGCACAGATCAACTGCTCCTATGTTATATAAGTGATACCTCGTTTCCGCTAGGGGAGTATGCGAGCTGCACAACTGAGGTCATCCTGTACTGTTCTGCCGTCCTGGCCAACCCGACTCTTGGATGACGGCCTATTCCTTGGGGAGCAACTCAACCCCCAAAGTAGGGGGCTCCTGTACCCTGTGCTACTATGGCTTCTATTATTAAGGTATATGAACATAAATTCCCTATGCTACTATGGTTTCTCTTAAGGTATATGAACCCTATACCCTATGCTCCTATGGTTTCTATTAAGGCCTAAGCCCTTTGAGGGTTCACGCAGTCCCCCCCAAGCAGGCGACTCACGGACCAGCCAAAAGCTTGCAGCCACCTTGGCTCAAGGCAGCTATAGGCAGCCGCCAGGCAGTGGCCAACCCATAGGCTTCACAAAGGGCTGCAGCTACGGCTGCCCTGGGCGCGTGGGGCTGTATATAGCCAGGTCATGGCACCACCCCCGGTGCACCCGGAGGTAACTTACTCTTACTTAGCCAAGATTTAGACTTTAAACTTTTTGGGGCTTCCTTATTTAGTAGGAATAATATGAAGTTTAACCTTTTTATTCCCCTGGTGATTGGAGAATTAAGGTCAAGGCCCTGAAGGAGAGAGGGGACCAGGCGTACGCGAGCCGAGACTTCGCAGCCGCCACGGAGCCTTGGGGACTCAATGAATCCTAAAAGGGCTTGTAGGGTTCATATTACCTGAATAGGAATGTGTAGTAGTATCTTAAAGGGGCTTAGGGCTCATATAGCCTTAATAGGATTTAGAGTAGTCTAGGGTTTAGGGTTTAGGGTTTAGGGTTTAGGGTTTAGGGTTTAGGGTTTAGGGTTTAGGGTTTAGGGTTTAGGGTTTAGGGTTTAGGGTTTAGGGTTTAGGGTTTAGGGTTTAGGTTAGGGTTCATTTCCTTTTCAAGGAGTGCTACTCCGAAGCGCTGGAGAGCACCCAGGATGCCGTCGTCCTCTCCAACCGCTCGGCAACTTAGTCGCTGAGTTTGGGGACACTATAAGGATTTAGGGTTTAGGGTTTAGGGTTATAATCCCCTATAGAACTGAAAGTGTATACCTTTGTTGGGGGGCTTCTGAACTCAGCAACCAAGGCAACTTATGCCCAGAGGCGACGCTTTGACAAGGCCCTCCTAGATGCGGACAAGGCCCTGAAGCTCGCCCCAACCTGGTC